AATTATACCATGGCTTATGGGTCCCCAAGAACATAGTAATGGGAAATGAAGCAACCATGCAGTGTTCTTTATTATCCACAAGGGGGTTTCGCCTCTGCCGAAGGCTCATTGTTGCTCCCTTTTGGTAGTCTTTCATTTGTATAGTGGCAAAGAAAATACTGAACCTAGAAATATCCTCATAACTTGAGAGAGCTATCAGATGAGGAAGAAGGATGCCTTCAGGGAGGACTTTTATAGAGGTATAACATCTGAAAAGTTGTCTGAATCACTGTCGCAAGATTCTGTTTCTTCTGAATGAGAATCGAAATCGCTGCTGCCAGTTTGAATTATTAATTCATCCACTATCTCTTCTAGTTGTCCCAACAAGCATTTTCAAGTTTTTCCACGTGGTTGCACGTCATTCTCGAGAAGTGACTTCATCCAAAGCTTTTTGTGTTAAATTTTTCAAGCTTAAGTCCCCAGTCACATTCCTTTCCCTGATCAGTCTTTTAACTGATGACCAAACATATTCAATTGCATTTAGATCACAGTGGTAAGAAGGGAGATGCACAACATGATGCCTGTTTTCTTTTATGATTTTGGAAAATTTATAGATTTCTTTTTTAGGACGATTACATTCTATTAAGTTACACAATTCTGCTCTTCGCATTTTGGGATCACAGCATATCGTCGTCTTCATCAGCCAATTTACCATTCTTTGCTTTGTAGCATATTTCATGGGTGTCGGATCTTCAATTTTTGTGTGATACGGGGCATTGTCCATGCATACCACACTTTGGGGTCGTAAATTTGGAAAAAGCTTTTCCAACACCCATTTTTCAGAATTTCCATAGTTCATTTGCCCATGGTAATCCCCGCTTTGAGCTGATGCTTTATATACAAGTTGTGGAATAAATCCTGCAGAAGAGTTGCATGGACAACAATCAGTCTATTTTTTAACTGATATTTATCTGTGTGCACAAAACCGTATCATGCTGCCAACATTTCTTAAAAGTTAAATTGCTGTCAATTCATGTTCATCGATGTAAATGATGTGGCATTCACTTGCACTGAGTTTCCTCATTTAGCATAAATAATTGTTCCTCCAAAATACAATGTGAGGTCTTTCGATAAGAATTTTTCTTTTGTTAATGCATTTCTTAAGAAAAGATGCATGCAGCTGGAATGAAACCGAGAAGACAAATGATAAACTCTTTTCCCCTCAGCCAACAGTCGCCAAAAACAAAATAACAATAAAGCAACCCTTGGTTCGTCCCTATTTGAAATATACTAGCCCTGTTGCTATAGCGACCGCCACCAGCCAGACACTGTGGCGGGAGCTGTTCTTGCCGTAGACAGACAGTATGTTAAAATCTGTATCGGCCAATTTTCCACCGAAATCCGATTGACTACTTTGATTTTAAATAAAGTGCTTTAATTTGTGGTTTGTCGCAAAAATTTTAGGTGTAGATTGTCAGCACTTAAAAACCAAATCTGCAGCTGCGGTGGCGTTAATTTGTAACGCCGCGGCGCGCAATGAATTGGAAGTTGATCTGTCAGCACTATCCTTATCTTCAGGGCAGTTGTTTTTATTTTATTTGGCTTATAATTCCTACTAAATGTAGTATTTCATCTCATTGTACTCCATCTTTGATATGATTTAAATGAAGTTCCTCGTCATTAGAATTCGCTTCCTATAGTGAAGAAAGTGACACAGAGGTTATTGAAAATGAAAAAATTTTGATTGACAAATTAGTCGGTATTCTCGACACAGCAATTATGGGACTTGAACAGCAGAACTTTGTAACTAAACAAGAAATTACATCTGTTTAATAGAATTAAAGAGAAAGTATTATTGCCTGAAACGAAGCAACTTAAACAACTTACATTGAAAGAAATGTTTAATAAAGTAAACAAATAAATATTAAGCTTTTTCTTTTTGTAAATTTTGATACCCTTTATATCATAATTGTTCTTTATTTCATAAATTACGGTTTCATATTTTTAATTTTATAATTTCTGTATGCCATCTTACCAGATTTAAACTGATGATCGATAATCCGGAATCGCTGAAGTCCCGACGAGTCATCATAATACAATTGTAAAATGTTCACCTTAAGTTTTATGTTAACCCATTTAATTTTTTTTATAGGCTAATTTAGTTTTTGTAAAGAAGACTGTAAATTAATTGCTACCCTCACATTTTCAATAATTCATTAAAATTTGGGATCTGTACTAAATGCAATGAAGCATTTTCAAAATTATTTATTCCTGGCATCAGAAAAAAAAAAAAAAGAAAAGCACACACTGCTGAGCACAATATGTGACTTTGTTTGAAAATGGATAAAAAATACTGATTCAACATGAAAAATTATAACAAGCAATTTAATTTTTTTACAGACATGAAAATGGTAGATTTGAAGCGTGGCTCTTTATCATTATTATAAGCTCATAAATCAGTTTCTGAATTCTCGTACTTCCTTAAATAGATAAAAAACTTCTTCTTCAATGGCCAGACAGCCCAGGATGGGCCCTTGTGTTCTTCAGAATCGAATTCCAAGCTCTTCTATCCCTGGCCATGGGCATCCAATTGGTTATTTTTAAAATTCTTAAATCTGTTTCCAAACAGTCGAGCCACCTAAGTTTAGGTCTCCCTCTTTTTCGGGTGCCGAATGCCCTGGTCAAGAAGATCTTTTTAGTTACTCGATTTTCATCCGTTCTGCACAGGTGTCCTGCCCATTTAAGTCTCTGAATCCTTATATATTTTACTATATCTATTTCTTTAAAGGATTTATAGAGTTCAGAGTTAGTTCTTCTTCTCCAGATGTTACATTTTATGCCACCAAAATTACTTCTCAAAAATTTTTCAAAGACAGAAATGATACTTTTAGGTTTTTCTGTTATTGCCCATTTCTCAGCAGAGTATGTAAGAATGAGTCTGATTAAGCTTTTGTAAATTAAATCTTCATTTTTGTGCTAGTGAAGTTAGACTTCAAGTATTTTTTTAGACCGTAAAACACCGATTAGCATCTGTGACTCTACTACGGATCTCGGGCATTAAATCATTGAAAGTATTAACTTCTGATCCTAAATATTTAAATTTGCTAACAGTTTCAAATTTGTAATTCCCAATTTCAAACTAGGGACTGCTGTTATTACCACATGGCATGTATTTAGTTTTATTTTGGTTGATTGCTAGATGCATTTTGCTGGATGCAGCCTCTAGAGATAAAAGATCACCTTCAGAATCACTTTCTGAATTCTTGTATTTCCTTAAATAGATCAAAAAGTTTCCAGCCTAATAAAGAATAAGTTAAAATATACTAATAAAGAATATATTAGTATATTTTATCAGTTTATTTTTCATAAGAATAGAGGAAAAAAATAATATCTAATAGGAAATACAATAATTTTTCTCTGTTTCTTTTGAAGTAGAGAAAGATTTCTCTATTTAAAAAGAAACAGAGAAAAATTATTATATTTTATTAGTTTATTTTTCAATAAGATCTTGTAACTCATAACACTTATCACATCATTTAATGAGCAGCTCTGTGTCCCTGAAATAGTGATCTGGAAATCCATCCTCAAAACATTCCATATCTGCCCTTTTCATGCTATCATTATCATTAAATTTCTTTCCTTAAAGATCAGTTTTAGTTTTGAAAACAGATCATAATCACTTGGTGCTGAACATGGGCTGTAATGTGAGGGGTTAAGCATATGAAACCCAACCACAACAAATGATCTGTTACCATTTTGATCTGAGGAAAGATGTCAAGGTACCCGTCTTGCAGAGAATTGTTTCATGTGAAGGTGTTCATGTAGATTGCACAAAAAAAGGTTGTTTTAGATACATCTAATCTTGCTGCTATATCCTTGACATTTAATCTCCTAGCACTCAGTATTTCATCTTGAACATGAGCAATGTTTTCCATTATCAGTGCCTCCAATGCTCAACCTATATGAAAATCACCTGCGAGTTCTTGGCCCATGGGAAAGTGTTTTATCTATTCTTTCACTATAGGAAGGAGACAAATCACCATACACACGATATAGGCATTGTTTTACTTCTTTGATATTAAGACCTTCTGTAGACAATTTATTCACAAAACAGTACTCGATTTGGCACTTACATTTTATTGCAACCATCTTAATTGAAGTCGCCAGGTTATCAGAATATTCCAGACTCTGGCAACACATGCACTAAAATTCGTCTTTTAAGGTATGTCACCATTTTTATATGCATTTGCATACTTCAATATTTAACCATTCTTAGGTGATTGGAATCATGCCACAGTGCTAAGTTTGTATGCAATTATCTTATTTTTTTAATGTAAATAGATTACTATGTACATGGGGAAATTAAGGTTCTGTTGTGTACACAGGCAGAACTCATATAGACAATGGAACCTTATTTAATATTTAAAACTTGTATTTTAAGTTGCTAAAGTGTGTTTTCTTGCTAAATGTTGGTAGTGTTTGCTGAGTTACAGTAAATATAGATAGTTCGGCTTTTTAAAAAGCTGCCATAATCCCCAACTTGCAGGCATTAAGTAACTTACAGAACAGAATGATGGCTTAAGTCATCATACTTTTTCTTCTTCAAAAAATTGCCAAATTGCACTGAGGTGGTTTGCATTAATATGTTAAGTACCCTTAATTTTTAATAGTTCAGAGCAAACTGACACACATCTCATTTCATTCAATAAATGGTCAAAAGAGAACATATGTGATTTCTCTTATAAAACTTCCAAATTTATTCATTTAACATTATAACTATGTGTATGCAAGAGGATTTTATTGTGAAGCAGTTTTTTTGTGTGTGAGGCCAAAAATGTTGTTGGATCAAGTTGCAGGATTCTTCAAGTATGTAACTTATTTTATGGCCATCCAACATACTGTATTAAAAAAAGAATGAATTATTGTTCTCACTTTATTTCCTTGCAGTTTATTATAAATTTATATTTTACTATTAATGTTTTGTTTCTGCATGAATTAATAACTTTGATATTTTTTTATAGCATCCTCAGCAAGTGTTTCATCTATTGCTTCCTTTCCTGAATATGATCTTAAAGCTAATCTGCAACCAGAAGTTATAAAGAATAGGTTATCTGATATAATTAAAAGTAAAGGTCCAGATTTGATTCAGGTAGCATAAAATCACACTGTCAGAGAAATGTAATGTTTATTTTGTGTTTGTAAATTTATTTTTTTTAATTAATTTATTTTTTTTTAATTAAAGTTTTACTAGAGAAGACACATTGGAGTTAATGAGAATTATTTGATGATTATTTTGATGCATTATATTATTTTTATGTTTTTATAACTGTTTAACATTCTAGTGTATAACTGTGTTATGAGCAAATTTTTTTCTATCCAGGCATGTAAGAATTTTGACCGAAGATCAACACGTAAAATACCAAAATCACAGTTAAGGCAAGTTCTGAGAACTTTCTGCTTTCCCATAACGGCTGCTCAGTTTGATTTATTATGTGAGGAGGTGAGATAATTAATTTACAATGTAAAATTTTAGATAAGTTATAAAAACTTACCAGTTTAGGGTAAAACATTTTTGTACTTATGGGAAAAGTATGAGATTCTGTTTTTATAATCAAAATAATCATTTAAATTCTTTTAAATACCATGCACACAGTGTGAAAGCAAATTTCATTTTGTGTAAATAATTTAGCTCTAGATTGACTTTGTGAGTTTCTTAACATTGCTGTAATTGCTCTGATTTTTTTTAACTAAAAAATACAATTTTTTATTGTAAATGTTTGTAACTAACTGTAGAATAATTAGCATGTTTTCACAATATTTTATGTTGCTAAATGCCAGTTTATTCAATTACTAATGATAGAAAGTTTAAAATAAGTTGGCTGTACTGATTTGTTACTTTTTATATAGATTGTTTATTTTTTTATGGTAAAGCTATTTGCCTAACAATAGCTTGAGGAAAACTTTGGCTTGTTCATGTGTTGAGGGAAGAAATGAAATTGCTTGCAGCTAGTCTCTTAAGTAAGAGAAATAAAAACTTTGAAGAACTATTCTGTTCTTTAATTAAACTCTTGGAAGCATTTAAATTTGCTTTTTGTCTCACACAATGTGTTCTGTCAGTCATGAAGGAATGTTCATCAATATAGGTCTAAAAAATTAACCCTGTATTGAAAAAATATTAATGTCAGACTTAAACGCATTGTTGCTGTTACCAGTAAACAACAGGTAGTCATCAGATGTCATTCTTGCAAATTTAGTAACAATAAAACATTCAGTAATTTGTTTTATTCTTACCCTTGTTTCCAATGACAATTTAAGCTACTTTATTTTTATTACTTTTTATTTGTAATGCTTTACACTGCAAAAATTGCAAATTAAGTAAATTGCTGTTGGAAAAAGCTTATCAAGCCAATTGCTATTGAATTCAGTTTTCATTTAAATATGACTTTTACTGTTCAGTAAAGATGCAGTTTCTGAATATTCCGATTTCTCACATTCTGAACATATTATACTGCTTTATCAATAAAAGAAACATTTATTTTAAAATGAACTTTCATGGATAAAGAGTCACAAAAGATTGTAAGATGCGTAAAATTAAATCTTAAGTTAACATTAAACCTAATAGAAAAACTGGATTCAAACTAAATGTATTTTATGTTTTTCACCCCTATAATAAATAAATAAAAAAGAAAATCTGAAAACATTTCAGATTTTAAATTATGTCCAAGGGGGCTTTTTGTAACATTTTGTGTGTTACCTTTATTTATTAAATATCATGTTCTTAGGACTTAAACCACAAAATTCATTTTAAGAGCAATATCACAAAATAATTTTAAACTGAGCATATCTTTAGAATTTGATACACAGTCTTGCGGTGGAGATAAAAATGTTTCTTCTGTACAACCTTGCCTTTACTCGCTTTGAAATCCTTGAGTTTGTTAATCAAAAATTCTTTAAAGTTTTACAAAATATGAAATCGATAATAAAACAAATTTCAAATTTTGGCTTCCAGATGCCCATATTCACAGTAGGATTGCGTAATTCAAAATTTGATGGCTCTCGATACCATTGTTTTATCACAGTGTGAGAAACATATATACATTTATGCAGATTCTTCAAATATAATACAGGGTGATACTATTTGACGGTGACAGTTTGAAAAGTGAAACGGATATTCAGAGTGATTTGACGCAAAATCGCGAAACGAAAACAATAGTTCCCTAGGGACAAAGCTCCTTTGGACTAATAAAAAAAAATTAAATAATATATCAAGCTAGATAATTTACTGAAATGCTAAAAAAGCTGTAATCTCTATATTACTTGTAATAACAATTGAGTTGCTGGGTCAATAAAACAACTAGGCAGTGTAGTTTTAATGTTCAATACTTGTTTCAGAAGAGACAGGCTGTATAGAAGTTTTTATAACTGTCTTCCAATGTAAAATAAATACAAAGTAGATACTTTCTATTTATTTATGTTGATTTTTTAAAAATATGTTATGTATGAAAAATATTATGTTTTCAATGGATGCCTTTTTCTTCATGGAGTGTGAATATATTGCAAAATGTATGTGACAAATATGTGAAATAAGCATAAATGTATAATAAAAATGGATTTTTATTTAAAATCTCTTTTTTACTTAACATTTAAAAAATCTTCTTCTCTTTTAAATGTAATCCTATCCTTTCTTTTATTAAGAAAATGGCATTCTGTTGTTGCTTTTTTATTCATTTTAACTTTGCTTGTTTAAATAATTATTTTTCCAAAAGATGCAGAAACTTGCTTTCTGAGGAATAGTGATTTAAATCATGTTTCCCTTAAAATGCATAGAATTTTTTATAAAACCCTTCTTAAGGTTGGCTTTTGCCAACTTTAATGTAAAATATCTTAGTGTCAAAAAAATACTTCAATCAAGTTAATGCATAATTGTTATATAGGATGCTACATAAAATCAGTAATTGCCTAGCAGATGTTACATAGGATTGATGCACAGGACCAGTAATTATGGACTGTAAAGTGTCTTCAAACATTCAATTAATTTTGACGATTTTAAATTTTGGATACTATGGAATGTTGATAAAAATTTATTCTCAGTTGTGTTCCATACAGACGGTAGTAAAACTGATGACAAATTTTGGTTTGCTTATGTCATGTATGAGGAGAGTGTCAAAATTGAGGAGCACCAGTTTCATATTAGAAATGAATGTACTGTTTATATTTATAAACTTCTCTGTATTAGTTTTATAATTAAATGATTACTTAGCCAAGATAGACATATTTCTCATTACTCAGTTCTTCAAAAGTACCTCATCACATAATGATATTATCGTTAATTTACAGCAGTTTTTCGGGAATGTACTGGACAAGGGCATTTCAGTGCTTTTTACATTAGTTTGAGTGCATGTGGGGAAATATATGGAAACGAGGAAGCCAGTTAATTATCTTGCTAAAAATGCAACTAGAAAAACATTAATGCTGATGTAAATATTCCAAAATCATACTTTAAAAATATATTCATAGCTAAAATGATTGGACAACAAAATTATGATTATATCATTTACTTATAAGGGAGATGTTATGGAAAAGGTATTTTTGACCAAATTTGATTTTTCTGTGAAAATCTAAAAAGTAAGGACTAGCTCAATTTTAACGTTATATAATTTTTGTCTGGGCATGGAAAGTTTAATGTTTATCTTGAACAGTTTAAATTGATGTCTTATAATTTATGCTATTGGGATCTCGGAATTCAGCAAAGCATCTTCCACTTACTTTTTAAGTGCTCCCAGCTTAATAATACAAGAAATACATTAAACTGTAGATTAAAATTTATTGGAACTAATTGACCACCAAAATCATGAATTTCTCTGCCTGCAGCCTGCCTTGCTTTTGATGACTTTGATGCTTACTCTAAATATTCTAAATGATTTTCTCTATATTTGCTTTTTGAAAGCTTTCTTTTTTTTAATCATATATCTATGATTTAAAGTTGATCTGTTTCCCTTTAGTTACATTTTTTAAGCCTTGTGTGATATTTTGTAGTGCATGGGGAGAGTTTTTTTCTTTAAATAATAAAAAAAAAAAAAAAAAAAAAAAAAAAAAAAAAAAGTATCTTGAGAATTTATTCACATTGAGAAAATCAAGGCCATCTTTGTCTGATTCTTGAAGAATTAGAACGGTCTATTGTTTAAAGTAATAATTTTGCTGTTCATAGCTGAAATTCATACTTAGAAGGGTGAAAAGAAAATGCAGTTATATTAGAATGATGGTAATCAGTTGATCGATCAACCAATACTGCTCACTAGGTTTCTGATACTCAATATTCCAAGAAGCTATAAATGCTAATGCCAGTTTTTTATGAATTTACTAGCCGCTATGTGGCCAGCCTTCATCTGGCTTTTAAACATACTGGAAAAATGCCTAAAAGACACACCTGGGACCGATGGCCATGTAAGTTCTTCTAACTTTTTTCTCTTTGTTAAGATTCCAACCCTCCCTTGCATACAGCCCTGATGTATCTCCAGAAAAACATATACATCTTGAATTTTTAGCAAACTGATTGCATGAGATGTGCATTAAACGTTTGTTAAAGCATAATTTATATCCCCCTTCTTAACCACCACCATATCTACATAAAAATTATATAAAAATTCTACAATAAAATTAAAATTTTTTAAACAGTTTCTTACTCGACAGTTTGAATGATTCTTTTTCTGAAATATTGAAATGTTATAATACTTTAGGAATCTTCTGAGTAAATGTGTCAGCAGTCACATGGCAACCATTTAACTTGTAAAGCAAAGTCTTTGACCTTCGTTTCAGGCATAGGATGATTTTAAGCAAGTATTTTATAAAGTGTTAACAGTGAGTTAATTTATGGCTATTCTTAAAGGGCTTCTGGATACACAATATTAAATGTTTTCCCTTTGGGAGCAAAGATGTAAAGATTATCCTTTCTTCCCACTCTAGAACAACCTCCATATAACTGGCTGTGTGAAAAACATGGACTTTGTAGATTTAGCCCAACAACCTTTAAAGACTGTACTTGTGCCTTGTTTATACTTATTGCAAAACGTAAAGATATTGGGAACTGAAGCCGTTTAAACTGAAATGGTACATCAGATGGTATAATGGGAATTCTTGGAATGAACACGTCTTTTCCTTTTGCATGACCAGTTAAAATAGTTACTTCAATAACATTTTTCATGAGCTTCTTGACAGATAATCTTGTACCATTGCAAAGTGAAGGGGGATCCAAATTTCTCAACAGCATTATGGGTGCACCAACTTTCAACTCCAGAATACTCCAGGCAGTTCCAAAGAATTCAAAAATTCAGTTGGGTAATTTACAGCCTCATCTATAGAACACATAGTATCAACTGACTTGTAAATTTTAACACTGCCTGGCAACTGTCCTAAAAGTTGTTTATTAATCGCTCTCACTGTATCATTCTTTGGTGCAAGAATGGATCTTTCACATAGCCAGCTGTGATCGGTGAAGTTCTG